TTATGTTTATATGAGGCTTATGTTGGAGACCATGCTATGACTATGATGATTATGTTATGACTATGTTATTATCTCTTATGCTTATGTCTTATGTTGACTAACCATTTTGAGATGCTCTTATGATGTTGTGCTAGCTTTCATACTTGGTACATTTTGTACTAACGCATATTGCCTACATTCTAATCAAATGTAGAGTTGAGGAGATTGAGTTGCTTTGAAGGCTAGGTTTCCAAGGATCTAGAAGAGTTGAAGAATTGGTGAGTCCTCATAGTTTCGAGGACAAACCCTTATTTCCTTTATGTCATTTCTTTATCTTTTTAGACTTTGTATGGGCTGCGTCCCAAGAGTTTTATTCAAGAGTTATGTTAGATGGTTTGAGACAAAGGTTTTAGTAAAGACTTCCGCTTGCTTGTATGAAATATGACTTCAATTGTAAAAGTTTTAAATTGTTCCGTATTTTGTTTCTATTACCTATGTTATGATGCTAAGGGCTTATATGAGACCCTTCGGGGTCAAGTATGCCATGTTACGTCTAGGGGGTACCCCTGAGTCGTGACACATCCTTTAAGATCCATTAAAATTGAGTCCAAAGAGTCGTTTGATTTTTGTCGAATTTGACAGAGATATGGCTTCAGATAATCACCCAAAATAGTGAGATTTATTTGAAATTTGAAGAAAGTTGCTTCATTTTGAAACACGGAACAAGAAGGTCTTCTTTGGACGTCTGAAAAAAGGACAAACCTTAGCTCAAAATGGAGTGAGGAAAGATGTCCATGGTTGCACCATATTGGAACTTTGCTTAAAAGAGGAAAAGAGAGGAGACAGGGACATGTAGTGAGAATAAAACCCTAGAATAATAGTGAGAAAGAACCTTGGACTGCTTTGGCAATTGGGCTAATAATTGGGTATAAATCTGATAACCTTTTCCCCTTTCTTTAATTAATTCTTTTGGGGTTCTAATTAATAACTGGTACAAAAAGTTTTAGCAAGTAAGAAACTTGAAATAAAATAATGACTAACAACAATCTATTTTAAAGAAAACGACAATAAAGTAATAGTAGTAAAGTTTTGATAATAAAATATATAATTTTAAAATAATGAAAATGATAATAGAAAGATGATAATCATAAAAATAATAAAAGCTAAAGTAATAATTATGATGTAATAGTAATAAATGTAAAATAGTAGAAGCGAAAAAATAAATTAGAGAAAAGGAGAGACAAAATTGGGTGTCTAACAAGAATATTGCGACCAAATTAGCGACGAAATATTCATCGCTAGGCCTTTTAATATATATCTAACTCTTGTATTCACGGTTGCTATAAAAAAAATTAAATCATAGCTATTATTCTAGGTGAAACGTGACAAACTTGACTGATTATTTAGTGTCTATTTATATTTGCCCTTTTGGAGAGAAACTAATATGGTATTGTTTTATTGCTTCCAAATAACATCTTATTGATATTGATTGATCATATTATGCTCTTTCATTTTATTTTTTTTGTGGTTAAAAAGTTTGTACAATAAAAAAATTAAGTGGACATAAAATATCAGATTGACGTTTTCTCAATTGCCGCAATTTTTTTTTTTCTTATTTTGGTAATTAAGATACTTCATTTTTTGTTTTGGATTTCATGTTGTTTTCTCATAAAAGGAGGGGCGATTATTGAGTTTAGGGGGAGAACTCTTGTGTCGATCAGAGAATACTACAACAAAGAAGGCAAGGAGTCACCTACTACTAAAGGTATAATCATTTTATTAGATTTTTTTATTAGAAATGAAGTCTCTGTTAATCCCCCCAACATGTATGTTTTTTTTATTTAAACATCTTTTTATACCTAAAAAATTGAAAAACTTTACTGAAAAATAATAGAAATTCCTTAAATGAATTTTGTAGATTTGGAACAGACAGACCTCATCCAGTGTAAGAGTTATCCCAATCATTCATGTATGATCTCATCACAGAGTTATCCCAAATCTGCATGACCTTTTCCCCTTTCTTTAATTAATTCTTTTGGGGTTCTAATTAATAACTAGTACAAAAAGTTTTAGCAAGTAAGAAACTTGAAATAAAATAATGACTAACAACAATCTATTTTAAAGAAAACGACAATAAAGTAATAGTAGTAAAGTTTTGATAATAAAATATATAATTTTAAAATAATGAAAATGATAATAGAAAGATGATAATCATAAAAATAATAAAAGCTAAAGTAATAATTATGATGTAATAGTAATAAATGTAAAATAGTAGAAGCGAAAAAATAAATTAGAAAAAAGGAGAGACAAAATTGGGTGTCAACAAGAATATTGCGACCAAATTAGCGACAAAATATTCATCGCTAGGCCTTTTAATATATATCTAACTCTTGTATGCACGGTTGCTATAAAAAAATTAAATCATAGCTATTATTCTAGGTGAAACGTGACAAACTTGACTGATTATTTAGTGTCTATTTATATTTGCCCTTTTGGAGAGAAACTAATATGGTATTGTTTTATTGCTTCCAAATAACATCTTATTGATATTGATTGATCATATTATGCTCTTTCATTTTATTTTTTTTGTAGTTAAAAAGTTTGTGCAATAAAAAAAATAAGTGGACATAAAATATCAGATTGACGTTTTCTCAATTGCCGCAATTTTTTTTTCTTATTTTGGTAATTAAGATACTTCATTTTTGTTTTGGATTTCATGTTGTTTTCTCATAAAAGGAGGGGCGATTAATGAGTTTAGGGGGAGAACTCTTGTGTCGATCAGAGAATACTACAACAAAGAAGGCAAGGAGTCACCTACTGCTAAAGGTAATAATCATTTTATTAGAAATGAAGTCTCTGTTAATCCTCCCAACATGTATGTTTTTTTATTTAAACATCTTTTAAATACCTAAAAAATTGAAAAACTTTACTGAAAATAATAGAAATTCTTTAAATGAATTTTGTAGATTTGGAACAGACAGACATCATCCAGTGTAAGAGTTATCCCAATCATTCATATATGTATGATCTCATCACTTTTCTAAAGTTATTTATATTCAACTAGTTTTTCAATACTTGTGACTGTCCATATATTTCAATTTTTTTGCCTCTACAATCTAAAGTTGTTTGACTATTTCACAATTAGAAAATAATGATATTGAAAGCACTAGAATCTCTTTTGAAATTTAAAAAGGTATTTTAGATTATTTTCTTTAGCATCTATATTAGTTTTGGACACCAATCTAATGGAAATTGTTTAGGCTATAGGATTGAACACACCTTCACTGGAGAGAAGCAGCTAATTAAACATATATGGAAACCCATTGGAGGACCTCAACCATAATCGGACAGATATTCAGCCAATGAAAGTACACAAACTCCTACAAATGGCTCCGGTACTGATGATATGTTGGAAAATTTTGAAGGAATGGACAACATGCATTTTTGGTGACCAAAGGAAAGGAAGATGTTTCATAACAAAATGGAATATCGTACCCTTTAATTTGGAACATCCAAGCTACTCTCCAAACTACCTATCCCAAACTATAACATTAATACTGGAAACTGGTCATCCATTTAATTTGTAGCAATATTGAAATGCTAAAACCTAAGGTAGCTATCCCAACGGGTCATTTGGCAGAAACTAGAGATGGGGAACTACAACATATATCAATATTGATGGAAGCTATATGCAGAATGATAGTGCTATGATTGGTGGCATCTTCAGAGATAGCAATGGAGATTTGATCTTTGCCTTCTCATGGAGTATTCAGAGCACACAAGCTCCATTTACACAGAACCACATCAAAACCAAACCAAATAGTAAAATCAAAACTAAATCAAATAGTATCGATTTTCTTAAGTTAAAAGCATTTGTTACGTCAATATAGATCTAAATAAACCCCAAAAATTCAAATTTCTAAATCAATATTTAGAAATTTGAATTTTTGGGGTTTATTTAGATCTATATTGACGTAACAAATGCTTTTAACTTGGTGATAGCTTTTAAAAAATAATCCTTTAAAAAAAGTATATATATAAATATATATATATATACTTGTTTTGATTTGATACAAAAAACTGTACTATGTATTAAAGAGAACTATGTATATAATATAAATATATTACTTAATGTATAAAAATAAATTTTATATGCAATATAGATGTATTATAAGTGTCTTAAAATGTATTAGGTTTGTTTTGTAAAAAATCTATATTATGTATTAAAAGTGAATTATATAAATGTATTAAAATCATATAGCTATAAATGATAAATATTTTTTAAAATATGATATCTTTATGTGAGTTTCTCTATTCAAGGATTCCCTTGCCAAGCCCAAACATAATAACAATAAGAACAACATACATAATGAAATTGGGGGAAGATAATGTGTACGCAGCTTTATTCTACTCTATAGGTTAGAGAGACTGTTTTCGATAGACCATTATCTCAACTCTCAAGTAAGCATATCAAACAAGTAGGAAAAGAAAATATAATAAAGAATATCAATAACAACAATAAATATACCATAAATTTTATAATTAAAAAAAAAATCCAAGTGTGAACATGCCTATTTTTTTGGAGTCATACTTGCAATGCGTAAAAATTATAAGTTTATCTATTTCAAAATAATTTTATAAATGCGATGTCTGAAATTTCTTTAGACATAAATGGATTTTCACTAAGTGTTATTGTTATGGTAATAAATTATTATGTTTTCCCAATAGTACAATCACCCCACAGTGCATGTATCATGACTAAACAACTTACATCGTTAGGGAAACAATAAAATAATTCTTACAAAAAAATAATAAATGAAAGTAATTAAATATAAATTGATTAGGTAGACAAAATCTCATCCAAAGCGATTGCTAAACCTCTACCACAAATAAAATCATATAGTTTATGGATAAAAAAATTCAACTATATATTCATAAAGCTTAATATTAGGCATTGGCAAACAAAATTAAAAATATGGAGAGATTTATTGCCATTGTAGATATGTCCAACAGGTTCCAAGGTCAATCCCTCACTTCATGTGCAAAACATGTTAATGGTAAAAATTCATATTTTCTCCATTTCAATTTATCTGACAGTGCTCGAATTTTAAACTTTTGACCTTAATTTTTCAAACAAGTTTTTAAATATTTTGGATTGTATGATTTGTATAATACTTTTCACATAATTTCTATATTAAAATTAAGAAGTTTGACTTTCGAAATTAAGTGTAAATTAGGACAGAGGAATAAGTATAACTTAAATCCTTTAATAGCTCTGAATTTTAATGTATTAATTCAACTTAACATTTCAGGTAATGTTGCAGAACAAAGTGTGGGTGTAAGTTTCCTCCTCCTTCAATTTATCTAATATGTTGTATAAAAGAGAAAAAGATTTAAATTTTCCTTTATGGTTTTTTTTTTAAAAAAAAATAATTGTTTACTTTAACCATTTGTTATATTGTTGATTCATATATACTCTTGTCGTTAGCAAATTATTTCATATCTATCTTTGAAACAAATAGATCTCTAACGTGTAATGAGTGGACTCATTTCTCAATATTTTAGAGAAAAATGGTCAAAATTTACTATTCAACTTTAGAGTATAGTTTAAAATTACCCTCATGTTATGAATTAGCTCTATAAGGGATCACAAAAAATTATGCGACAATAAATCATTTTACTGAAGATAAAATAAGAAATTTAGAGTGTGCTTGATTTGAAGGAGAATATTTTTTTTGAAAAATATTTTTGTGGAAAACAAGTATATTTTTTACTTATTTCTAGTGTTTGGTAAGTCAGCCAAAAAAAATGTTATCTCAAATGCATTTTGTAATGGTCAAGGGATAGAGGTTGGAGGCATTGGGTACATGGGAAGATACTGTCACGACCCAGCCACCGTGATTGGCACCCACACTAACCCTCCTGTGGGAGAACTATTACTACAACCCAACTAAGCAACTTAACGAAAAACTAAACATTTAAAGATACTGAAGCAGGTTTAAATGATAGATAGAAACGGAGTTCCCATAAACTCCAAAGGTTTTAAATAAACAATTAAACAAACTATTGCGGAAGTCAACCCCTAGAACCTAAAAGTCATTGTATCAAAACTCTACCAATCAACAAGTCTAAGGAAAGGGTGTGCAACCCCGAAACTAAACATATGAATAAATCTAACTATAAGAATGGACTAAACAATAAAGGACCCATGGCAGCCTGGAAGAACTGGCTCATCCTTGAATTCGGTCTCGATCAGTGATCTCCTAACTGAGGTATGTCAGTAGCCGCCTGAATATGCCTTGTACTCAACAAAGAACGAGCAAATGCAGTATCAGTACACAACCACAGTGTACTGGTAGGATCACGCGGCTACTCCAGTAAACGAAATACAAGCAGGAAATTACAACACAATAAACACACATATACAGATTACATAGTTCAATTATCTTTTCAGGAGCAACACATAATTTTCCAATATCAATAACATGTAGACATGAACATAATAATCACAAGTGGTTCTCTCATGGAACCCATACCCAAACTGTTAGTGTGTCGAAACGTGACACCCGATCCAATGTATGTGTCCAAACGTAACACATGATCCAACGTATGTGTCAGAATGTGACACCCGATCCAATGTATGTGTCGGAACGTGACACTTAATCCAATCAGCACAACCACAATCACAACCACACTATAATGAATAATACATATAGTCACAGGGTCAAGTAGCAGCGAATGACATGTAGTTGTTCGCACATAATCATTTCATTAGATTCGATTCACATGCACGATTCACATACACACATGCATACAATGAAGCAAGTATCCTGCATATATCACACAAACAGGAAATCGAATCATTACCTACCTCGAAACCAAGCTTGAATCTTCCTAAGACACTTGAGCCTTCCTTTTCCAGATTTTTTCCGCTTGTTCTTGGTCTAAACACAAGTAATTAACGTAAGGATCAATAAACAAGGCCTAATTTACCCGGATTATAATCAAACTATCAATCCAAGGACAATCCCAAGATCCTAATATTCAACTAGGACTTTTCCCACCATCAACTTCAGGCCAAAACCCTCTCCCAACGATAATTACCCAAGATTCTAAGTCCTAGGAATCAAAATACTGATTACGGGAGTAATTTCCTTACCTTTTGCACTAGAAGGCATGGAAAGCTATCGAGAATCTCCCTGGGTCGTCTCCTAGCTCTCAAGAATGAAGTTTTGCAGAAAATAATGAATTTGAAGTTTTTTTCGACTTAAGTTCGTGACTGGCCTGCCACAGCGTCCCCGCCCTGGCGGAATTTATCCCGCCCCGACGGCTTACACGGAGACAAAAACTTGGAATTTGAGTTCCAAGCTCCCATTTCGCAACACATCTTCAAACCGGGATGTTCTAAAACTACTCTTTCACACCATGATCAGTTTCAGGAGTTCTACTTGCCCGAATTTAATTCCGTAAAGTTGTACAGGCTCCTTAATGTCTTGGTTATCTACTTACGTGATCAAATTCATAATTAAACCCCCCATTCATTACCATATTTCCCTAACCCCACCTGACTTAGATTTCATCCAAGATTGGCTAGGTTAGAAATTTTCAAGTCACTATCAAAAGTTTTCTGGCCTAAATTCTTTCCCCATTGGCTTTTGCATAACGACGAAAATAGGTAGTTACAATAGATACCAATTTGCCCATTACTCGTCCCCGAGTGATATACTTGGAAAAATTGGCTAAGGTAAGAGTAGAGTAGTACCTTATGTCATAAAAATTGATAATAATAATATGTCATAAAAATTGATATCTAAGGTAAAATTATGTCATAAATTGGCTAAGGTAAAATTATGTCATAAAAATTGATAATAATATGTCTAAGATGTATGGATAAAAAAAACACATTTTTTTTCATGCAATATAATTTTGTAGCTAATAAAGATCATTTTCTTGAAATATTACAGGGAAATGAAACAGGAAACACACAAGGACCAGTGTTACATGAAACAAGAGCTAAAACAGCAACACCTCCAGTGAAACCAGCTTCTCCTAAGACTGGTTGAATTATTAATTACTCATATCGTCCTGATTTATGTTATGTAATTTGACTTATTATGAAATTTAATAAATAAAGAAAAATCTATAAATAAAGTTTTCTTAAATGGAGTGGTTGAAATAAATCTACAAATATAAACATTGAGTTTGTTATATTCTGAAAAAGTTTGCTTGCATTTTTCTCAATTTATATACCTATAGTATTTGTTTCTAAAGAAAATTCGATTCTTCCATACTTTAACATTTTTTTTCTTCATTATATTGTCCAATTTTTGTAACAAAAGCAGTGTATATAAATATAAAACTAGCCATTCGAGACACCAAGACTCTTTTTCCCACTTGGCACCGGTGTTCAGTAGCGACATTGGAGACCGATTAAATTTGAAGTTCCTTAATAAAGGTGACTCCGTATTCAAAGAAACACAAACTTGAAATATCTTAATTAAAGATAAAAGAGTATTTGTCACTCCACCGCAAACTTTATTCACCCAGGCTCGAAGGTCCCACGGTGCATATACATTCCCCCAGCCCCATTCCCATGCAATTCCAAAACCACAATCACTTTCGCTAACAAAGCAATTCATTGAATATGAATTGTGGTAAACGGATAAGTACTATATTTTATATTTAATTAGAAATTAGAAATTAGAAATTTGAATTCTTTAATATATAAAATATTTTGATACAAATTTAAATTTAATCGAATATGGATAAAAAAAAACAAAGCACATCATCTAATGTAGAGGCAGAGCCAATTAAAAATTATACAATTTATATATAACTAAATTATTTTTTATATTTATATAGTAAATGTCAAATCCTTTTTAATTACTCATTCATTTATTTACTTATGTTAAATCTCCTTAGTGAAAATTGTGACCGTGACCCCGTTTCTATATACTCTCCAACCAATACTTTCTTTTTAGCCTTTAGTTATTTCACCATCTAATATTTCTCTCTGATAGAGTCGTCCTTGTCATTTATCGATCCACACAATTCTTTCTCATTTGAAAATAAAGTTAAAGAAGCATTGAACATCCACGTCTTCTCTACTTTTCTCATCCAATAACTATACAACACCTTACACCAGACATACCTTTTCTTAGACGTGGACTCTTCACAATCACCACCAAAACCTAACTCCACAATCCAACCCCCCTCCCCCACCCAACCCTGCTCAACATGACTCTTTTTACAAAATGGTCCACTCAAGTTTAGGGATGTGTAATTTTTAGTCCAATTGATAAAATTCCCAAGCGGAATATCATTTAAAACTAATTGAAATATTAAGATATATTATTTCATATTTGGACTGTCTTGAGTTTTTTGATATATCTTTTTAATATAATATTTTGGAGATCGATCATGTCGTTATACATTTTATTATTTCGATTTTATTTATTTAAATGTCTTGAAAATGCCATTAAAAAATATATAATAATACATTTTATGCTAATGGTATTAGATGTCTCTCCAATTGAAAACCATTAGATGTCTCTCCAATTGAAAACTTCAAATATTGCACTAAATCACACGAATTATAAGGAAAAAAAAACCTTCTTAATTGATTTCTTTTTCAATCAAAGTATAACTGTTGAGAAAATTGAATGAACCGACAAAAATCAACTTTATGTTAATTTGATTTAGTACATAAATTTAAATGAAAAACCAAACCAACCTGAATAATTCATCGACAGTAATACAATAAGGACCAAAATAGAAGAGCCTCAAAGTTATAGGACCATTTGAGTTAAATTAAAACTCTCCATAATATTATTCCATGCATCTAAAAATAACCCCACTTTTCTCAAACATTTTCTCTCTCTCCCACTTTTCAGGAATCATCTCTTAGATTCTTCAATGGCCTTGAGAGCTGGACCGGTTTTCTGTGAACTTAAACCACAAACTCAGAAGCCTGAACCGGCCGGTTTTATGCCGGTTCAGAAGTTGAGAGTGTCAGAACCGGGGCAGGAGAATGGGAAAATCATGTTGCAGCCTAGATTGACTACTTTAAGATCATTCGGGTCGGATCCTGTCGGAGTGATCAAGACGAAGAACGGAGGTTTTAATGGCGAAGATAATGACGTTTCACCTTTTTTCGAGACGCTATCAGAGTATATTGAAAGCTCTAAGAAGAGTCATGATTTTGAAATTATATCTGGTCGACTTGCCATGGTAATTTAACTTCCTCAATTTTCTGATTTTTTCCATAATATGTCCTTAAATAAAATATTAACTAGAACAAGTTTTTTTTTTTATTCTTTTACACTTGATAAGAAAGATTTTCTTGTATGATAACATTTCTCACCTTTAATTCTAAAATATTGAATTTGAGTATCTAGAGAGGTCAAAAAAAATAGTTGAATTATTCTAAACATGTTTTTAGAGGTAATATGAGTATTTTTTCAAACGAACCCTATAACGATAATATTAGATCGGATGACAATTAACTAATGTTGTTAAATGTTTTAACACTCTTTATAAATCAACATATATATTGTTGTTATAAGTTATTTTTGTTGTAGTGGGTAAAAAAGAATTACTTTAAATTTATGTGTTAGTTTGATTTAATACCGAGTTTTAGATTTTCTTATAAAAAAAAATTGTGTTATAAAATAACTCATAAATAAATATATTTTTGTGACTATAAATTATTTTTAAATATATCATTTTTTGAACGGATTGAAATGAAAAATAATTCATATAAATTTTATGGTAACACATGTTACTTTCATGTCAAATATGGTAATTAACTCGAAAAATAATTATGAGGTGCAATAACCGATTAAAAGGCATTAGTAATAAAATAATTCTTAATGATGTACTCTATAAAAAAAAGTTTTATAGATCACATAAAAGTGTAGAATATTCTTAGTTAATTTTTGTCTCCAGATTGTGTTTGCAGCAACAGTGTCTATGGAAGTTGTGACTGGAAATTCAGTATTCAGAAAGACTGATTTTCAAGGAATAGCTGAAGCTGCTGGGGTTTGTATTGGTGCCGTGGCTTGTGCTGCTCTTTTTGCTTGGTCTTCCAGTTCTCGCACCCGTGTTGGCCGAATTTTCACCCTTGGTTGCAACACCTTCATCGATTCCTTCATCGATCAAATCGTCGATGGCTTGTTTTATGAAAACGACAACATCGACGATTGGACTGATGATATCTAGACCTCAAATATTGGAAAAAAAGGAAGTGATATACTTAAGTAGTTGATTTTATTATCTAATGTTTCAAGTACAATGTGTTTCATTAGGACCTTGGTTAGTTAATATATATTTTGTAAATAGATATCATATAGTTAAAAGATATTATTATTATTATAAAGAAAGTTTTAGTACAATAATATATAAACCATCAAAAGAGGAGGAGGCCACAAGTGAAAATGGCAATATGAATAAGTTGTTATCGTCTTTCATTGTGATTCAAGTATTTTTCACTTTATGTATATTATTTATTTCAGATTTATGGAGAGAATGTGTTGTTCTCTTTGGGACATGATGTTGTATATTTCAATTTCGAATATTAACTAGCTAATTATATATATACTTCTCTATTTTAATTTGTTTATCTTATATTTTTTATAAAATCTATTTAAAAAGAATGTCTTTTTAATTTGACAATTCTTTAATTTCAACATTTTACATTCTACACTTACATAAATGATGTTTTCTTCCTTATGTTGTAGAAAGATGAGAAATATTATATTTTGAATTATTTTTTTGTGGTGAAAAAATTGAGAGAAAAGATATTGTAAGTCCCATTATGTTAAGTATAGTATATATTCTAATTTTCTTGATAAGCTGAAATCAAAAAGAAAGAAGAGAAATTGGGCCATTTTTCGAGAGAGAGGCCGCCTTCTCTCAGCGATTTATTAATCTATTTATTTTTATTCTTATTTTATTTAGTATCTCTTTATTTATATTTTTTCTAAGGAACTATTTGCTATCTCATTTAGGAATTTTGTATTCTCAGCTTCTCTCTGGGATTTTTGTTTTTAGTGTTGGGGGATCACTTCCTCTTCCGGGCAAGCAAGCGGGGCTGAGTTTGAAGATCTGGCTGTTGGACCCAAGACCCGGCCCGGATATTTCATAAATGTTTCACTCAAAAGGCAAGCCAGGGGGATTAACTACATTATGTTAAAAAAAAATTGCGAAATGAAATTTTATTGGTCGTATATATGAGCCTTGTCACACCCCTTTTCTGACCTGGAACAGAAGGGTTTTTCCATTTTAAGTGACGGTATTGATTAAGAGATTATTTTATTTTTTTAGAGTCGCTACTTGGAATTGAGTTATGGTGTTCCAAGTCAACTTTTTGTTTAATCCCTAATCAAAAGGAAATGACTCTTTATTTGGTCTACGAACTAGAAATTCGGATAAGGAATTTCGTTGACCGAGGGGAAGGTATTAGGCATCTCTCGAGTCTCGTGGTTCTAGCACGGTCGCTTTTATTGACTTATACTTATTTTAACTATTTTTTAGATCTATTTTATATGCTACAGTTTCACTCATATTTTTATTGTTGAACTTTTCTTTGGTCTCGACCTAGATACGTAACCGCATTCTTGGTCTTGACGTTTAGAGACATAGCTGTCTTCTTTGCATCACACTTATTAACTTTATCTAAAAGTGCTATTTTAAGTTAATGAAATATAATTATATTTTTAGACAAGGTGTGTCACCGCATCCTTGAGTTTATTTTAATGTCTCAAGAAAAAGATGTGTAATCACATTCTTAATCGAAACAAATATTTTTAACGGATCATATATCTGTCCTAATGCTTACCTATTGCTAGAAAGCTTAAGTGTATTATTAGTGACTAAATTATTTTATACTATTTATGAATACTATTTAAATAATAAAAGTCTAAAATCTTAAACAAATAAATAAATAAAAAGTTATTTTCAAATTCGATATAGATGCACTTACATTTTTAGTTTACTTACAAGTTATGACAAAATCCAACAAAAATAAAAAGTAAAAATTTGCAACTCGTCTTCTTTTAATTTTTCTAAAATAAACATTTTTAATAAAGTTGACTAAACAAACTATTAGAATAATTCTTTTAGACATTTAATTGATTTTGGTTGGACACAAGAGGTACTTAATTGATAACAACATATGGTACAAAATGAAAAATAATGTACAATAGAATAAAGAGGGAATATTTCAATATTATTGTGTCAAAATTAAACACACCTAAATTTCGAGCAAACTTCATAACATTGGAATCAAGTATTATATAATCATAAAAATAAAAATACAATAAAAATTAAACGATATCTCTTGCGAAAATTCAATTCACGAAAAGAAAACAATCCTAATAAGGAACCACGAACTCGAAACTACGAAAGAAAACCTCGACCTCACTTTTGTTTGTGAGCGAAAGAAAAGATATAATATGAGGGTGTATAGTGTGTATATTTTTTGTTTTGTCTTCCGTATGTGTGCGCTGTGTTGTGTGTTGGTGTAGTTTTTTGGTGTTGCTGATGTTGTGTTTTTCTTTTTTCTGTACGTTTTGTATATGTGTGTGTATTCTGAGAAGTGTAGGTATTGTGTTTAGGATATAGGGGTGGGTAGTGGGGTTTTTTTTTTTTGTGTGTGTGTTGTGCAGAATGTGTGTATGGTTGTGGGATGTGTTTTTCGTGGAGGTGGGGTAGTATAGTGGTCAGTGTGAGGGAGTTGTGGGGTAGTTAAGTTATTATTATTTTTTTAATAATATAATATAATATAATAAAATAAAATAAGAATATTATTTAATTATATTTTAAAGCTAATAAAATTGAATAGCTAATAATAAATTATAATTAAGAAATACTAGCTTATTTATTAAACTAAAATTAAAATAAACATATATTTTGTTATTTTCAAATCTTTTAAAAATAAACTTATTAAAATAAGATAAAATCAAAATATCTAACTTAGACATAAAAGAAATATTTAAGGAATACAAATTAGTGTAAAATCTTATGTTCAGTCAAAAATTAGGTGTCTACAAGCCTTGCAACTTTTTTCTATTCATTTGTATGAAAATGATATGACGAATAAAAAAAAATAGCTAACCTAATAAAAATATAAGATAAGATTGATTGTATTTGACCTGATATTGTGTAGCAAAAATACTTAAGAAGTATGAGCAAGTCATATGTATTTAATTAAAAGCTTAAGTCATTAGCGATCCTTAAAATTGTTCGTATAATCCACTTAGACACCTTAACTAGGACTATTACCTATTAGACACTTTAATATTAAGGAATATGTATCTATTGAACATAAAATGAGACGCGTGTAATTCACATGCGTTGTCTTAAAACAATCACAAATAAAATTACGACACATGGCACATGAACCCAATCTAGCAATAAAATATAATTTTTCAATTTTAAAAAATAAAAAATACTTTCCAGCCTTTAATTAATAATCACAAAAAAATTATAAAAGAAAATCTCCCCCACTCCCCATTCCCCACGCCCACACCCACCTAACCCTTTGACCTTGCTTCTTCCTTCTACCTGTGAACTCCATCGGCCGCCATTAATTTCTCCATTGATAACGAACATAACAAAAAATAAAATTCCTGGCTCAAATTCATTCTCTTATCATCCGTTATTCTCTATTCAGTTTGAGATTTATGTGAAAATAAATGGACATCAATAAATTATTTTAAAATTTGCGACGAAGAGAAATCGAAAGTATGTTGAATTTTTTAATATCATCTCTAATAAGTATAATGAGTGGTGATGTTTGTTCAATCGGAATGATCGAAAATAAAGATGGATGAATATCGATTAATTTTTAACTCCAATGTTCAAATTATTTTCTTCTCGCATATTAAATTAGCAGAATTAGATTTTTATTTTTTTCAAAAAATGAAGAAAAAAAAGAACGAAATAAAAGGCTAAAAATTTAAAATCTTTAGAATGGTGGATTGAAGAAGATGACCACTGGTGCATGGTATGGATGTGGGGGTGGGTGGAGGTTTCTTTTATGAAGAGATTAATGTGGAATTAATATTTTTTTTAAATTATTTAGTTAATGCATGTCAACTGTTAAAAAATAGGTACCAACTTTTTAAAAAAAAATAGAATCTATTCACGTTCTTAGGAACAGTGATACACACTTATTTTGTCATATCATCGTTTTGTTTTTAATAGGCAATATTTTAAACAATTTAGGTGTTCAATATGTACAAGTCCTAGTTGAGGTGTCTAAGTGAATTATGTGAATAACTTTAAAGGGTCACTGATGACTTAAGCCTTAATTAAAATATAATTTTTTAAAGTCATATGAAGCCCCTTAAAATTGTTTGCGTATTTCACTTGAACACCTCAATTAATGTTTGTACTTATTGAACACTTTTATTGTTCAAAATAAATATTTATAAGACACTTTTCGCTGACATGGCAAAGAACGTGTAATACACATATAGTGAGTGTGTGGAGGGATATTATAGCTCCTTTTATTTTATTTTTAATCTCTTTCTTTTGTCTCTTTCTTCTTCTTTTTTCCATAGTCGTACTCTTCCAACACCACCACCATCCCGCCATTGCCGCCGCCTCCCCACACCATCATCTACCCTTCTCTTCTCTCTTTTGTTCAGCCACTTCTCCCTCTCCCTTACCATTGTCGATTTCATCTGGAGAACACCATTACATTTCTTCCTCCATTTTCTTAAAAAATTTGGCAGTCATTATCTTATTCACCGGAAAAAATGGATACCCACACTATCACTACTCTATTCCTCCCTCCCTCTCTTTGTTCTTCCTGAAAAAGAAATATCTAAACCCAAATGTATCATGTCTTTTTAAAATCAGATCTGAAAAAAATTAATAATTGATTTAAGAGGAACGACGATGATGACGGTGAGTAGACGGCGATAGTTTGAATAAAGGAGTTGCATATTTTTTCACCCCTTGACCTTTATGAAGCTTTGAACCTGCTCAATTATTAGTTGATTATGAATCTCTCTATACTCCATTAATACATGATTGAAGTTGTGAACGAGTAAAATCCTTTAGCTTAGCACAGATAAAGACGAAACACAATGAACGAATCGAAGGTTCATGGTTTCAAAATATTTTTTCTTTTTTTTCCCCTCAAATTTCCACAGGTATGTCGTTAATTCGTTAATTTGCCACGTCACTGCGAATGTATTACACACATACAACATTTTTAATTGATTGTCAAAAAAGTGTTCTAATTCGAACGGGTAAAAGTGTTCAATAGGTATCCACCCTAGTTGAAGTGTTCAAATGAAATATACAAACAACTTTGAAAGGCTTTGTATGACCTAGGGCCTGTTTGGATTGACTTTTGGCTTATGACTTATAAGCCAAAAGTCATAAGTTAAGATTTCTAACTTATGACTTTTGGCTTATTTTTGTTATTTTGGCTTTAAAATAAGTGTTTATAAACACTTTTTAACTTCATCCAAACACTTCAAAATTGCTTAAAAGTTATTTTGACTTAAAAACACCTAAAATTAGTCAATTCAAACGGACACTTAAATCAATTAACAAATAAAAGGAGAAAACAAGACGCAGAAGTGGAGACAAATTGCTTGCTTGCTAATTGCTATCAAACTTTTTGAATAGAAAAATATACAATGTTATTCTCTTAGGTCCATTATTAAAAATTGTCGATATTTATTAGAAAAATATATAATGTTATTCTCTTAGGTCCATTATTAAAAATTGTCGATATTTATCGAAAGCAATCAATGCCACTATCAGACAAATTCGTAGGAAAACAAACAAATCTGCAAAGTTTTAGACGAATGAAGACTATAAACATGCAACAGTTTTACTAATTTGAGAACACATATGGACCGTTCGGTAGAGTGCATATTTTTATGTATTATTAGTGTTTTATTTTGTATATTTTTTCAATTTATGTCTCCAATAATTTGACGCGACAGCCGACAAGATCGTTTGTAACAAATTTTAAAGTGATAGAAAATAAGTTACAATCACAAATAAAATATAAAGAAATATAATTTTATTGATCAAGATTGTGAGTACAATTTTGTTTCTTCCTTGATTCTTCTCTCATAAGATTTATCCATGATTCAAGGGCCGTTAGTAGCGTATTTTCCGAACTTGGATGATATGAACTTGATTGTCATAATTTGAGGGTCGTTAGTTGCATATTTCTCGAACTAGGATGGTTTAGACTTGATCTTCATAATTCGAGGGCCGTTAGTGGCGTATCTCTCGAATTAAGGACTTGATCTTCATGATTCGAGCGGTATTAGTGGCATATATTTCTCGAATTAAGATAATTTGAATTTGATCTCTTTATAAATATTTCATGAATTTGTGGAATATTTGAGATGCCTTTATCTTTTTATGAATATTCGATGAATTTGTGATGAAATTTTTGAGATTTCGATCTCTTTAAGGAATTTTCGAGATGCCTTTTTAAGGGAATATAATACCCTTTATATATGCATGAACTAAGGTTTATAGTTGGGTAGTCTCCAAGAATCCTAATTGAAATTCAACCCACCTTGTAAATCTCAATTCGAATTGAACACGTATTTCAATGTGACAAAGACAATATTGTAACTTTACAAATATTCATAAAATAATTAAAAATAATAATACTCCCTCCGTCCCTTTTTAGTTGTCCACTTTAGAAATGACACACAGATTAAGGCAACAATGATTAGCACAGTGAAGTTATAATTTTACCCTTATAACAACTTTCACTTCAAAATTACAACCACTTATTTGAATTAAAGTGAAATAAATTGGAGGGAAACAACATACACTTTTACATTTTTCAAAAAGTGTAAATAAGGGTATAATAGGAAAAAATTTGTTGTCTTTTCTTGATTTGTCAAAATGGACAAGTAAATAGGGACATCCAAAAAAGGAAATATGGACAAGTAAAAAGGGACGGAGGGAGTAACTAACATGAAAAAAATTATATAAGTGTAAGATAAAGAGAAATTAAAAGGAATAGAGTTATTACTTTATTTTTTAACATTTTGTATTATGTGAAGTTGTGAACTCAAAGTCACTGTAAAGTGTGAATTGAAGGCTAAAGAACAAAGATAGTAACTAATAAGATATTGAGATTAATATTTAATATTATGTACGGGTAAAGTAGTAAATTATACATTGTCAATGGATTATCGATTTACCCAATAATATATTTTTATAAAATCACTAAGAATTTGTTAATCCAATAACCCAATAATGATAAATCAATAGTAATTTTTTCGGTTCGATTTTTGCACACTCCTAAACTGACACCATTTAGATCGCTTGGTAGGGTATACAAAAATAATATTTAGATATGTGGTGTTTGTATTAGTTAGCAGAGATTAATTTTTAATCATTGTTTGATTTGATGTATTAAAAGCAAGCATTCTATAATATTTTTTTTTTAAAAAAAGATTTATTATAAGAATACCCTCCAAAATATGGTGAAAAAGACGTAAAAAAAAGTTTTGAGGGGCAATTATATTTTTAACCATACTAATGCATGCATTTAAAATCTTTGTATTACTAATATTATGGATTTTCATGTATTTATAAGTATTTTCTTATTGATTCCGAAATCAAACCATGAAGGAACCAAATCGATAAAAAATATCTTATTGATTTGATTATTAGTTTAGCATATTTAAAAAACTAAAAAATAATAAATCGAGCCAATAATACATAAAATTAATTTAGTGTATTTAAAATTAAAATATTAATAAATTGAGCCAATAATACATAAAATCAAACCGAATCGGTGTATCACATGCTTCTTGTCTCCCCACCGCAACACCTTCCTCAACTTCCTACTCCACACTCCACTCCACTCTGTTCCTTTCCATTTTCAAGCCAAAAACGGCAATCCCAATTTCAAAATCGACCCATTTTCTTCAATCCAAATTCTCCTCCAAATCAATAATATGAAGGAAAAATACTAACAATCTTCACTTATTCTCATTATCAATGGCAATTCACACTTGTTTCTCACTAATACCTTCTTCTTTCTCTTCTCCCAAATTGCCATTCCCCAAAAACACTACTTTTCAATCTCCTATCCCAAAATTATCTAGACCCACTTTCATGTTTGATCGGAAAGGTTCCTTTCAAAATGGCACCGCTGCCGTTCCTGCTGTAGGTGAGGATTTTCCGATTGATTATGCTGATTGGTTGCCAAAACGAGACCCAAACGATCGTAGAAGAGCTGGAATTTTGCTCCATCCGACGTCGTTTCCTGGACCTTATGGTATTGGTGACCTTGGCCCTCAGGCTTTTAAGTTCCTTGATTGGCTTCATCTTGCTGGTTGCTCCCTTTGGCAGGTTCAATTGTTTTAATTTTTTTTTTGATTCATGAAGAAATTTGGGGAATGTATAACTTTTCATGATGTAATATAAGATCAACATAACACAAACATTATAAAGCTCATTTAACAATCTTTATCTATGTTACTATAGATTCTTCCAAAATGTTTGTGTTGGATTCTCCAAAAATACACTGAAAATCTGACACTGTTGCGGTGTCAAAAGTGAAGAGTCTGTACAACTTAGCTTATAATTTTCCTACGCTACCATGGCAATAGTTTCTTACCTCTTTTTGTGGTAGCAAGAAACATAAAGGTTATGTCTTTAGTGGAAAGACTACAAATATGATAATAAAAGAATGCTGAGAATAATTAAAAGCTAGCACAAATAGGATTTGTGAGTACTTATTTATCATAAGAAAAAGTAAGGAAAAAAAAGATTTCAAGTGTAGTTCTTTTCTTTCATAGAAATTAGCATCCATGTAATAGGAATCTTGGCATCTCAGTTTTGCACTTCATCAACTCATATGGGTGGGTGTTGGAATCTACGGAAGTTCGATGCCTGGTTTGTATTTTGCAAGGACTTTTGGCAAGGAGAATAGTGTAGCTTGCTTACTAATAAAGGATCAAAAAGTACCTTCTGTTTAGAGTTTGTACTCTCTTGTTTGCTTCTGATTGTCTATTTAAAGTTGTAATGAATGTTATGAGAAGCTTGTTGTCTCAAGTTATTTGATCTGGAACTTCAAAAAGGCATTGGTGGTTGTATATTTATATCTTGATTGATGTAGTGGGTATGCTTTTGAAGTTTTACTCGAGAATATAGTAGTCTACTCTTAAAATTGGAGATCAAGATCCAGTCTTACCCTTTATCCAAACAATGGAACCAAAGCTGATTCTAACTTTTTTGTGAGTAATTAAAATCTAAAAAGCAACAGGACTTTCTGCGCTTGTTTGCAGGTTCTTCCACTTGTACCGCCTGGAAAGAGAGGCAATGAAGATGGATCACCTTATTCAGGACAGGTGACATGAATTTTCCTTTTTACGCTTGATTTTTCTTTTAAAAAACTTACTTCAATTTGTTTGTCTGGTTTTGACTTGACACATAGTTTTAGAAAGTAAAGAGATTTTTGAATCTTGTGGTCTTAAACTAAAGATATGTAGAGTGTACCATAACGTCCTTAATCTTGTGGTCTTAAACATGACAGGTGGAAAGTTGAAATTAAAGAGTTGCCAAAAAAGGAAAGAGTCATTCTTTTTGAAATGGATTTAAAAGGAAAGTAAAACAAATAAATTGAAACGGAGGGTGTATTTCGATCAAATTGCTGCAATGTGAACTGCTTGAATATGCACATTTCATGAGGCACAATTTTGAGATTTTGTGTTGTTTTGATTCATGTTATATTGAGTTCCTTCTCTTCGCAACGGAATTTATTTGATTAAATGTTCATACAGACAATGACATAGATCATTACCTTTTTGTTAATGCTGTAGTGATCTTGAGACGACCATATTGTTAATCTTTACAACATTGAAATGACAGTTTATCAATGGTTGCTTTCAGGATGCAAATTGTGGAAACACACTTCTGATTTCTCTTGAAGAGCTTGTTGATGATGGTTTACTGAAGAAGGAGGAGCTCCCGGAGCCACTGTGAGCCACTTTACAACATTTTCCTTACAATTCATTAGTGTTTCTGGACAGAGAAATTCTATGGAACATTACTTGACATCCTATTTTTATTGTTTGGTATGTTTCATTGTTCTGAAGACCTACAGATCGTGTCAATTACTCGACTATATCTGAGATAAAAGATCCTTTAATAACCAAGGTAAACAATGAGGAGATACTTGTTGCTAGTTTTCTTTTAATATAACATGAACTTTATACAACCAAAAAGGGTTGGAAAATGCTTTCAAGAGAAAGGTTTTGAGTGTGTGGAGAAGAGAAAGGAGGTTTAAAAATATCTCTTTTCTCGTTGACTTCCTTACATGTCTGCTTCACATTATCAAATTTTTGTTCTTCTGTACTCGAGCTTTATCCACCTCCTTTTTCATTTTCATTATAGATAAATAATTTTTTCACTTCAAGAATTGATTGCTCATATGATAATTTTCTTCCTTAATCATTTTTAGGCAGCAAAGAGGCTTCTCTCCAGTGAAGGGGAACTGAAAGACCAGCTCGAGAACTTTCGCCGGGATCCAAATATTTCGAGTAAGATAAACTTACTTCATTTCTTGATTAAGGTGAACAATAGGAGCAAGGATAACCATGGTCTGTCAAACCATGATAACTCCTTAATCACACATTTAGGAGGGACAATAGCTGATAGTATATGAATAGGAATGCTCTGTAACACACTTGTTATGAATAGCTGATATATTCACTTTGAAATGAAAAAAGAAGTCCGAAAATGTGGGGACATGTTAATAATTGCTAAAAATGGTTCTGTTAACACCTGCTATTGGTAAACATAATTTATTCAAGAAAAATACAGGTTGGCTGGAGGATGCTGCTTATTTTGCTGCCATAGACAACTCTGTAAACACTATTAGCTGGTATGATTGGCCTGAACCATTGAAAAATCGCCATCTTGCAGCTCTAGAAGAAGTTTATCAAAGTGAAAAGGATTTTGTAAGACCTCTTTAAAATTTGAATGCTGACCAAAGTTGGATCCTTGAAATTGGGCAAACATTGAACATGATCTAATGTTACCTGGAACAGATTGACATATTCATTGCACAACAGTTCTTGTTCCAACGACAATGGAAAAAAGTTCGTGACTATGCACGATCCAAAGGAATCAGTATAATGGGAGACATGCCAATATATGTTGGATATCACAGTGCTGATGTGTGGGCCAACAAGAAACAATTTTTGCTGGTTAGTATCTCCCTGAACCTTGATGGTAAATAAGTTGGGTGAATTACCCTCACTAACTTTTAAAGCCTTCTGATCTGCATAAACCATCTATCTCTGTGGCAGAATAGGAAAGGTTTCCCTCTTATAGTTAGTGGTGTTCCTCCAGACGCCTTTAGTGAAACTGGTCAACTATGGGGCAGGTAAGTGTTATTCGGACACTAGATTGTTGAACAAACATTTCCTTTATCTGAAAAATATATATTTGAGTATGGAAGTATCCATATCTAGTTGTTGCTTTTAGAAGACATACTTGGTGGACACTTGTCGTTTTAGTTTACTGGTAGATCATATCTAAGTTCAATGATAAACTGTCAATTGTTGTGCTATCCACTACTTACTGTGATTTTTTTTGCTAAACAGCCCTCTCTATGATTGGAAAGCCATGGAGAAGGATGGATTTTCATGGTGGGTATGCCGAATTCAACGTGCAACGGATCTTTTTGATGAATTTAGGATAGATCACTTTAGAGGATTTGCTGGATTTTGGGCTGTTCCTTCTGGTAACGGATGTTGGATTTTTACAGGCTTATATGTAACTTTGTATCAATTGGGCACTCATGTAGTTTTTATAATCCATACTTGCAGAGGAAAAAATTGCAATTCTGGGACGGTGGAAGGTCAGATCTCTTCATATTTCTTTCATGTTTTGAATCTTAACCTCAAAAACTATCTCATTGTTTTATTTTTTTAATGACTTAGGTGGGACCTGGAAAACCTTTGTTTGATGCTATCTTACAAGCTGTTGGGAAGATCAATATTATAGCAGAAGACTTGGTATGTCTTAGCAGAGCATATATACAACATGTTTTCTCTCTGAAATTTCTGATGTTGTCTTGATGTCTGCTTAACGGTTCCTACCAATAAAAAAGAAATATCTTCTTTATGTCTCCCCTGGAGCATTCTTTTGTAGTTTGGTAGACATTCGAATGGTTGGACACTACCAATAACTCTCTCTTTTAGGAAGTAAAAGATAATGCCTTTTAGAGAAGATAGAAGGTAGAATAAAATATTGCATGCAACCCATTTGTTAGGCAATTTCTGGTTGTACTGGTCAAAAGCAATAATTTGACAGCAGATCTAACAAACCTGTTTTTGTGTGCAAGCAAGCATACATATATTTTAGCCATTTATCTTTCATCATTATTTTCTCTCCTTCGGCTTCATCTAAGCATACTAGTAGATTTTTCTCTATTTCTCTAATTAATTATGTATTGATGAGACTAGCTTGTACTCTTTAAGTTTGATTAGTATATAGGTAGAAGGGAATTTTTGATTTGTTTATGTAGTTTTATTGCTTTATTGCTATATCTTCTCATTTCTAGAATGCTAAATGACAGGGAGTAATTACCGAGGACGTTGTTCAGCTAAGAAAGTCCATTGAGGCACCTGGAATGGCTGTACTCCAGTTTGGTATTATATCCTCTGCCGTACTTATAAAATGTGTGCAGAAAGTAGCGTTGAATTTATCTGGCATTCTTGGTATAAATTTGTTCTTCCCTGTGTCGTTCAGCATTTGGCAGTGACGCTGAAAACCCTCATTTACCTCACAATCATGAGCAGAACCAAGTAGTGTATACTGGAACACATGACAATGATACGGTAATCTTCAGTGCTTGATCTTGATTTACTGTGTCCCCCCTCCCTATCATAACTACTCCCTGTCCAAAATTTGTAAGCATTTTCTTTTGTTTGCATGTTTTAGATCCGAGGTTGGTGGGATACTTTGCCACAGGAAGAGAAATCCAATGTTAGTATGATGCATTGACTAAACCATGTTTTATTGTTGCTATAAATATAACGTGAGATGACAATGAACATGAATCTGTTGTTCACTTAAATTGATGTATCAGGTACTAAAGTATTTATCAAATATTGAGGAAGAGGAAATATCATGGGGCTTGATCGAAGGTGCAGTTTCTTCTGTAGCCCGTATTGCAATTATACCGATGCAGGATGTTCTTGGGCTTGGGAGTGATTCCAGAATGAACATTCCAGCAACTCAGGTAAAGACATAAATCTGCTTCTACAGAGTGAATAGTGAGTGACCAATGCTTGATCGTTTTCGCTGATAGGCTGGGCGTTGGTAGAGTTTAGATTAGCACTCTAAACCTTCTGTTAACTGTCAATGCTGTTGGGTTAGCTGAGACAAGTAGAGATGCTTAACTGATTATGTGCAAATTTGTGGCATCTGGTAGCTTCTGATTCTATCGACGCTTTGGAAATTTTCTGCTTTGGACCAAAATACTATTTCCTTCAATGTTGAATCTCCTTTCCTTTCCAATATCATCTGAATTTATGATAGTATATAGCAACCACATCATTATACTGGTGTTACTATGTAGTGGAACTATATGATGTTGGGAGTCGTTTGGCATAGAAACAAGTTATGCAAGATTGTAATACATAGCTTAATTACTATCGGGTGTTTCGTTCTTTCTACTAGAAACGAATATATAGGGTAAATTGTTAAGATGTAGGTTTATCTCTTAAAACTTAATAAAGTTGAAAGGGTGTTGATGATGGGTTTGAGGAGATATAAAGGGTATTTTTATCTTTTGGTGTTTCATCGATGCATAGTTATTCCATGTTACGTCAGGTTCAAAAATAATAATCCAATTGGGTGTATTAAATTATATGAGAATTAGCCATGCAATATTCAAACTACAAACCAAAAGCTGGATAAAGCAAAACCAAAATTTATACCAATATGATTATTTCATCTAACACATCAAACGAAGTGAGTCCTTTACTTATTTCAATTTCTCTTGAATCCTCTCTGACATCGTTTTTGTTTTCTTATCTTTCCCCTAATTGCAGTTTGGAAACTGGAGTTGGAGGATACCTAGTTCAACTAGCTTTGACAACCTGGATGCAGAAGCAAAAAAGCTAAGAGATATACTTGCAACTTATGGGCGGTTGTGATGATGAATGATGAATAAGATGTTATGTCCCCTGGGAATCAGGGGAGGACCTAGGCTGTAAGGTACGATTCACATGAACCCAATAGTTTTTATTCAAACCCTATATTTATATTAAGAAATTCATAAAATATTTATAAATATTTGACTGTGAACTTAGTTATTATCATATACTCCGTCCATTCACTTTTACTTGTCCATAAATGATTCTTAAGAAATATTAATGAAATGCATATTTTACCACAATATCCATATTAATTGATGTATAATCTTTAATTGACTTGAGAAATGATTTTGAAGGAGTAGTTAATAGGTAAAACAAGAAAAGGAAATTGTTTTTCTCTTGATATACTAAAATGGTAGAGTAAAAGTGAATTTATTTTTAATATAGTTGACAAGTAAAAGTGAATGGAAGGAGTATTAACTTGAAATTATTATAGGAATTCATCAACTTCAAATTTTGGATTCGCCTTTGTTGGCAATGCTGCTACCTGCAATATTTGAGTTTCTCAAGATGATATTTTCGTACCTGCAGGACGTTCTCAGGCTTGGGACACAAATTGCTGAGAGCATAAATGATCGAAACAAGGTTTTCCTGCCACAGTTCACCTCATTGCTGCAAAGGAACGCCTGCATTTTCAATTTTCTGAACTTTAGGCTCACTGGGGAAGCAGACAAGGAAAGCTAAAACGCGTGCTTTGGATTCTATTATTCTACATTAGCCGGTATAAACTACAAATGCTAGAGCCTTTCCATATTTATGCAGAAAGACTTCATAGTTTGAATGTCACCTGACCTAAAAATAAATAATGCATGTTTTTGTATTTACTATTTGGTCGAAATAACACGAAAAATTCCTTCTTGTTCTGTCTTTCTTCCAGAAATATATGAATGCTACTCATTTAGATTTTAAGTATCTTTAACCTTGACCTAATAATGGCCTGGAATATATTAGTCATATGAAAAGGTTATGTCCAGTTCTACCAGATAGCATAGCAATATTTACATTTATTCTTTACATGTCAATTTGACAGTGTATGTCTTTCTGAGAATGGTGTAAACTCATTTCTCTTTCAATTAAATAAAAATAAAAGGAACTTTAGAGTTGCTTACTCTAAGAAATTATGTTAAATAATTCTTGTCTATCTCAAAATTTTAAAACTATTGAAGTGTGTGATCATTTCATCTAAAAATTCAAGCTCATAGACAAAGATGAGTGATGATGAGATTTGGTCTTGGGATATCTACCTGTTGTGATGCCATGTTAAGTTAATCAAGAGAGCACACTTTTATTTACAAAAGAAAAAATGTTTCCGATCGCTCTTGTAATGGTGCAGCTTTTCTGAACTCGTGACTATTAATAAGTTATATAATCGTTATTTTATAAATTACTCATTTTAGTAAAAGTTCCTTAAATGTTTAGTTCGAATGAGATATCTTTTTTTCAAATCATCTATTTGATAAACATTTCTTCTTTGAGAAGGATAAAACTACAAAAGTAAATGAGAGAAATAATTAGTGTTAACTTACTGATGAGGCATACCTGTACTCTTTCATCCTGATTGTGATTGCATAATTGTATGGCCCAATCTCACACACAAGATTGTAAATGAATTATAATACAAAATGTTATCTGATTTATGTGATGTTGTTTGATTTGGTACATAGTTTAAGAAAGAAAGATTTACTTTTGAAACTTGTTTAAAACAAGTTATAGATATTTGTCTAACTATAAATTATCTCATTAAGAAGGGTAAAATAAACATTTGAACGTTAAACTTTTTACTAATCAATTTTGAAAACCTAACCCCTGCGGCTGCTCGTGAATGGTGACTTAGAAGCCTCTCATGGCTGCCGCTGCCTCTCCCTGGTCTCAAACAGTGGGAGAGTCAAACCTTAACAATACCTATGTGTCTAATGAATTATATTCCTACGACACTGACCAAAATAATCTTGAAACCTATTCAATTAATATACGGGGAATCAACTGTTTGATTTACTTTTAAGGAATTAGATGAGTATGTTGTTGAAGAGGGACTTCATCAAGCTGTGATTATGAAGCTTTCCTATGGTGCACCAAGCTTACACGAACTGAGAAAATTAATTCCAAAACATTTGGTCATCAAAGGCCGTTGTTTAATTGGCTCGCTTGTAGCACGACATCTTTTAATTCATTGTGATCTTTATGAAAATTTTTACTCAGTTCTTCCATAACACTTTGGTTATCTATGTAACATCTCGCAATTTGAAATAGCTAGGAAAAAGCTAAGAACTGGAAATAGTCATTTTTGAAAATAATGAAAATCTGGAAAATTTGTTTAAGTTAGGAAAAATTGAGTTTTGGCCAACTTCAAACGGCCATAACTTCTAGCTCAGGATGAGTTAGAGGTACTTCCAGCTATGGTAGGAAAGATCTTTCCAACGCCGCTGAGTTTGCGCGATTTCGAGTTTATATGAGTAAGTTATGCCCTTCGGAAGTTGGGCTATTCGAATAAGGAAAGTCCAATCCGGATTTTGGAAGGATACTTTGGTCTTTTTCTTACCCAACTTAATTAATTCATTTTTAGGAGTTTAATTGGGGTAACGTCAGATTTTAGTCAGCTTTAGAAAAGTGAATTTCACGCTAGGGCTTGGAAAAAGGAGAAAAGAGGAGAAAGGAGAAGAGCGTTCAAGATTCGTCGAGATTAGCTTGTGGATTTCGTCGGGGGTGATCCCTACAAGGTATGTGAGATCACATAGCATTGGGTCCATTCACCCATGCACCAATCATGTAATTCAACGATTTTCGTCCTAAAAGAGTTAGAATTTGATGTTCTTGAGTTGTGTTCTTGAATTGTTTTCATTCTTCAACTTACATGTGATTGATGGGTTTTCTTGAGATGTTTTAGCGATGTTAAGAGTTGTTTCGAGTTAGATTCTAGTGTACATGTGTTGGGTATCTGAATCTAAGAAAGTATTGAGAAAAGGAATCGATTTAAAACGATTATGATCAGAAAACGAGTTGAAAAATATGTCAGACACAACTGGGGAGGGCCAGGCGCGTCGCGCCCCCACATCGCCAAAGAGGTTGGGGCGGCATGCCTGCAGTCCGCCCAAAAGGAGCCCCAGAAAGTGGGGGCTGGCGCAGCGCGCCTGGGATGCCCCCAGATCGTCGATTTTCACTAGTTTTCGTCGTTTAGCCTATTTAAGTTATTCTAAAGTGTACTAACACCTTCCATTGATTCTAACTACTCTAAATGACTTCTAAACATCTAGAAATCATCCAGAAACATGAATCATAACCTTGAATCCAAAAATTCAAATTCAAGGAAAGTCAAGAGCCAAGTCTATGAAGTTCTTAGAGTCTTTTCAAGAAGTCTTTTGCAAATGCTTTTAACTTTGTTTTAAGACTTAAAGTTTAAGTTGAGTAAAGAGTAAAGAGAAAAGATTGAAGTTCATTTCTTCAAAAGTATTAGGGGACTATGTATTGCCAAATGGTTTAAAATGTTTTCACATTTAAACAAGAAAGGAAACCTCTATTTCCAAAGAGCCTTCGGGCTAGTTTTCAGAAAAGAGTAATCGCTTTCTAAATGAAGCAAGAGAGGAAACTTTGATTTACAAGATAACCTTTGAGCTAAGTTTTTGAGCACTATCACAAAAAGAAGTATGCTTTTAAACATAAGAGCTAATATTATATTTTTGGGAGTAGTATTGAGCACCGATATGGGGGGAGAGTTCAGACAACTCACAGCCTCCATAAACCATGTAGCCACCATGGGTAGAAAATGGCCATACTTTTTAGATGATTCCTTTAGTGCTTTTTAGCATAGACTAGGGATCCACTTAGTAGTTCAGGTTCTATACCCTCGGCAAGGTATATGACGGCCCTGGCAGCGTGAGGCAAAACACTGTATCATCACAATAGCTCTTACGTGATGGCTGTCGGTTAGAGAAACTCCCACAACAGTAATTGTATTCTTATATACACATTTTATTGTATTTTTACATACATTTCAGAGTTATATGTATCTTTGCATACACACAGAGTTGACATCATGTTTTAAACAACTTTTCTTTATATTGCAATTGTTTTAGACTGCTTTATATTGAAATGAGTTCAGTTATGTTGAGTTGAGTTGAATCAAGTAAGTTTTTCAGATTTCTTTCAAGCCTATGTTGTGTTTAGCATTCCAACTCGCATACTCGTACATTCAATGTACTGATACCAGTTGGTCTGCATCTTATTATGATGCAGACAAAGGTAACTAGGATCGGCATCCAGCGCATCGTTGATCCAGTGAGCACTCTAGAGTCAGTTGGTGAGCCTTCTTGCATTTCGGAGGACTCCTTTTATTGCTTTAAGTTATTTTATTAGTTCATTAGGATGTCATGGGGTTTGTCCCGACATCCATCCCATTTTTTTAGAGGTTTAATAGACAGTCAGATGTTAGTTATTTAGCCTTTTCAATGTCATTATCTTATGGTAAGACTTGAGTTTGCCTTAATGGCTAAGTTAAATGTTCCTTTATAACATTCCAGTTTATTTCATAATTTTATCTTTATTGATTTAAGTCTTCCGCTAAGTAAGTAAGCCAGACCAAGGGTTCGCTTGGGGCCAACAATGGCTCTCGAGTGCCAGTCCCGCCCAGGGTGTAGGCTCGGGGCGTGACAATCTACTTATCTTCAATTTATTGGGGAACAACATCTGTTTCGTAACTTTTCATGGACACAAAATTTTAATCCTAAGGAGAAGAAACTTCAAAAGCTTTGCCATGAGTTTCGCTACCGGATCTGCCACCAAATCTTTTTGCTCGAAGACATTTGTTATCCATTGCATCAACTATTGGTAAGCCAGTAGCCATAGATAAAGCCACTCAAGATAGGACAAGACCTATCACAGCTAGAATTAAGGTCATTCTTGATCTTATGGACAAACATTCGAAATGAGTAAATATGTTTTTTTTGGATGAACAATCTGATAAGCTCATTGAACACTATCAACAGGTTGTGTTATTTAATCTTCCTTTGCATTGTACCTATTGTAAGCACCAAGGTCATGAAGATGCTGATTTCCGATTAATGATCCAAAAAAAACAAAAGGGGAGAGGGTAATCAAGATGACATCGGGAAGCAAGGTGACAAAACAAACAATTTGGAACAATTGCAGGGTAATGCACCAGACTTCTTGAATGCAGAAAAAAAAAAAACTGAAAATAAAGTCTCTAATGATATGGATAATGCAAGTAATGTGAACAGAACACCGAATATAAAGTATACTCAGTACCTAACTACTAAAAATAGTGGCGAAACAAGGCTAGTATTAGCTGGTCAAATGTCAGTGCAAGAGGGACTTTTGGTGCCTGGGACAAAGGTTCAGGAGGGCTTTGATACTTGGATCAGAGGTTCAATTGTTAGACATCTCTGAAAAAGTTTGGCTGATGCTCTGAAAACTTCAGATAAGGTTCAAGGATATCAAGTAGGCGATACATGTGTAATTTCATGTGAAGATCAAGTTGGTTCGAATGGAGGTCAGGTGCTTGATCTAAATTCGATTGCAATGTCGAAACTTGAAAATTCTGGACATCAAACTGAAGTTGGGTAGCAACTAAATTATAATGCTACTGAAAAAGAAAGTGTTACAGCTACAAGGGTCGCAAGGGTAGGGAGTGAACCTGCAGATACATGATAAGATTGAGCTTCAAGAAAAGACAACTAATTCAAAGGCTTTTGTTGTTGCATCGCAAGTCACTTCTGGAAAGTTATTGACTAAAGATGTAGCCATTAACACAACTGCTACTTTTGTGGCGCAAATAAAAGAACTTGGACAGTCTGATATAGTTGATAAAACAGGGGTAACAGTTAACGTTGGAGCTCAAATTGGTTCTTCAGGAGCCTATCTAATTAAGCCTCATGTTGATCCTATGTTGAATATGGTTGCTCCACCAATTGTTTCAATTTCCCAAGTTACTTCGACAAATAATTTGATCACTTCTAGCGGGCAAAAAAGTATTACAAGTGAGAGTCGATGGGTCGACTGGGTGGAAGAAGAGGATGAACATGTCACACCTCATAGAAAATTGAGCCTCGATGCACCAATTTTTGTGCCTAAGGGTAGTGGCATTACCAATGATTCATCCCCATTACATATAGGGCGACAATTGATTTTAATAGGTACTAATGTTCAAAACTTTTCAGTTGGTGACAAAGAGCTTCCTGATACGTTAGTGAGTACTAATGTTAAAAAATTGACTTCTCATACGCCCATTAACACAAACAAACAACTACAAGATGTTGGTAGTAGTTCTTTCTCCATAAATAGATTTGCTAACATAAAAGATGAGGACACCTTTGAGGAAACTGAAGAAGAGGATATGTTGAATTATTGTTTTGCAAATGTAGCTAGGGATGAAGATATTTCTCCTAGGCAACAACGCAACTACAAAAAGAAGCATGGAAGAAAAAAATGTTGGGATGGTAAGATGATTGAGGAGTTTGTTCCAAGGCACCTACCAATGCGACTGAGAGAGCAGAATCATATGACAATGTCAACAACTTTAACAAGATCTAATAAATCTAAGAAGAATTGATGAACTATCAAATATTGTTAGACATATTTGAAGAGGAAGACAAGAGGAAAACATTCCAGGTTACTTTAGAAGAGCAATCTATCTTTTTTAGTTCATACTTTTGTAGTACAAAGTTTGAGTTTAACTACTCAAATTTCATCATGGCTTTTATACTTTTGTACTACTTAAGCATCCCCATTTGTAATATCATCATAGTGTATTATAAACTCTGTGATAATCATATAATACTTAGTTCTCTCTAGCTCTTATTTTCTTCTTGTGGGTTAATTAGTAGAGGTTTCGTACCTCATCAGAATTGGCAAGGTCTTGCCCCTCTTGCTTGTACTTATCTCTGTTGAGGTTTTCTTTTAATTATATTATTAATAAAAGGCCGCTAGACACTGTCTAGTGGTATAAATTAAAATAATAATAAAAATATTTGGGACTGACTAAAAAAGAAAGTGTATCACATAAATTGGGACAAATGGAATAATAATTATGATATATATAGCCCTTTATATTCTTTTTAAGAATATAATCATTTCATCAATTGCATGTAAAGTTAAATGGAGATAATTATAAACAAATTAAATATAGTAAGTAAAAAAGTTGGACAAATCTAACGTTGCATAATGAGTTTTTTCTAAACATAATGAATGCTTGATTCTCTGTATTCCACAAGAGATATGTAGTAAGAATGGAGATCCTCATCTTTTATTATTATTTTTTTTTTAAAAAACTAAATAACAATAATATCAGGTTACATATTTACAAAGTATCTAAGAATAATATAAGATCTGAAATATTTCAGTTTATCATGCATGATAAAAGTAGACATTATTTAGGTATTTATCACATCTTTCTAAGGGAAAAAAGAATATCCTTTTGGAATTTTTGCATGGTAAATGTAAACATTATTTATTAGTTGATCAATATATATCACATCATTTTTAAGGAGCCCCTCCCCCCCCCCCCCCCCCCCCCCCCACACACACACACACACCCCACTCCACCTCCCCCATTATTTAGTACACTAAAAGTTGGAAAAAAAGAGAGCCAACAAATAGTACTGAAAAAAAAAAATAACAACAACAAAACAACAGTACATTTCTAGCTGCATGTAAGCAGTCATACATACGTAGACCTATATTGCTCAGACTCTTTAATAATGTCGAAGTACTATGTATCAGATCAAATCCTTCAAAAATAGTGCATTTTTAAAAGATTCAAACATTAATGCAACAACATTTTTCATGAAGAGTCTGAGCAACATATATAGCGTCGGTCATATAAATAGTTCTAGTCTATACCCAAATAGCATTAGCCTTAATGAGCAATTCCTTCAACTTGCCTTTAACATTGAGACTCATCACTTCATCAGAACCACCAACAAATTCCTTCCCAATAAATATAGCTGGGGTACTAGGATTGCAACCCATTTCAATCAAAGCTTTTTCCATCTTCTTGCCTTTTTCAATTTCATCAAGCTTATACACCATTGGATTCGCCCCAAAATTACGAATTAAGGTTTCGATACTGTAAGACATGCAACAATTACTCTTGCTAAATATCACCACTGGGCTTTCTTCTCCTAATCTATGCACTATATCCATCTTTTGATATAGTAAAATAATGCAACTATAGTTTATTTAGAACTTGTGGAAATAATATTATTGTAGTTTAAGGGTTTAGTTAAATTAAGACCTCAATTTGCATGGTGTTATATAGGAGTATTAGTCTTGAACAGTAAAATAAAGTAAGGGTATCTATCATATTATTCTTGATTTTGAGACTATAGAGGCATGACTTGATATGTCACCTGATAGTATAGATAAGAAAAGGGGGATTTTGTTTATCTTTTAAATATTCCTCAAAGATTTAATTTGTTGCTTTAAATGTACCAAATAATTGTACTGGATTATTGATTATTCGAGCATAAGATTTGTGTACTATATTTTAAAATGTATTGACATCTATCAACAGATATAGTGTATATATACGTTTTGTTCTCTTAATGTGGTTTCATAATCTATTAAGTAAATGAAAATTTCTAGTGGAACTGGACATAGGTAAACTAGGAATAGAACATGGATTAAGGAAAGTAGGGTTCATCTGTTGATAGTAAGACAATATATAATTATTTCAAAATATAGAAAAAATTATTAAATATGATAGAAATGTTTATCTAATTAGATAATTTTTCCTTTATTGATCGAACCCATCATGACTCACCCATAATCAACCCAACCACTCATTTGTCAGCTCTTGTTGGGGGTGAGATGGTCAAGGGGTGACATAGTCAAGTTAGGGAGCGTTGTAAAGGTAGGAATGAGACAATGAATTTGAAATAATTTTTTCTACTTCATTAAGAAAATCATTTTTCTAAAAAAAAAATTAAGACCAACTACGAATATTTTCCCATCTAAGTCAAAACATTTTGGCTATCCTGTGAGTAAATCATGTATCTTTTTTTTTCTACATGATATTTCATCTGTCTCAATTTATATGACTTACTTTTAAATTTCGTATCGAGTCAAACTACATTACATAAAATAAAACGGAAGGAGTAATAGGTATTCTTTCATGAGTTTCCGTTATCTATTTGCTGCTTCCCACCTAGTTGAGTGAAGAAGATAATTATATTCCAATTCTATTCTCTAAAAGTCAGAAGGACAAATGTCAATTCTAATGCAGTGGATTTGTATGTATATTTATTCTTTTCGTTTTTGCTTCTTCCTTTGTTTTTTCCCTTCAAAACGTTAGCTTCTCAGAGTTCTCACCACATATTAATATTCTACCATCTGAAATGTATGTTTGGTACATGACCAAAAATGTTTTCGTACAAAATATTTTTTATTTGAGGTTCTTTCATATGTATACTTCATTTTTTGGTTGGAAAATTATATTATAACGGAAAATGGTTTGATATACTCCTTAACTTTGTCATTTAGAGTTGATATACTCCTCGTTATAAAAGTGACTTATATATACCCTTACCGTTATACAAATGACTCACATATACTTTTACCGTTGCAAAATGAGCTCACATATACCCTTCATTTAATGGAAGTGAAAAAAATAGTTTTGAATTTATTTTTTTGACTTCAAACTTTTAAAAAATAATGTAGGGGTATATATATGATCCTTCTAGAAATTAAAGTTCAAGGTATATTTTAATCTTTTTCATACATAAATTATTTTTTGACTTCTTTGATTATCATTGTTTGAGTTTCTTATTTTTTTTTCTTTCATTCTTTAGTGTAAAGAAAAAAAATTGATTTTTTTTTGTGGCTATTTTATAATTTAGTTTTTGTATTTGTAAAAATAAAATAAAACATGGTGCATCTAATAATTTTTACAAGAAAATTAGTGAAACATAAATAAATTTGACTATCAAAATAATAAATTTAAATTACTCGTTGAAATAAAAAAGTAAAAAAAAAATGTGTGAGGAAGATCAAATATAGCCCATATGAATTATATTTTTTTCAAAAAAAATAATTAAAAGATTAAATTAATTTTTTTCACCTCCGTTAGAGGAAAATGGTATATGTGAGTCATTTGTATAACAATAAGAGTATATATGGACCACTTTAATAATAAGACGCCGAACCAGTATATCAGCTATAGATGATAAAATTGAGGGGTATATCAGACCATTTTCCATATTAATAATAACTAGATAGAGTCAATACAAATAGCTGTGCTATTAGCATAGTTCCCCAATTGTACTAGCTTTTTTTAAAAAAAAAATTAGTCATATTTCTGATGTATTTCATTTATTGTTACGCAGGCAAAGGGAAAGGGTCCGACCTCCTCAAAACACAACACAAGGATAGATATATTCAAATGCACCACATTATGAATTTGGTCTATTAGTTGGTTATGATGCATAATGAACTTGGTCCTTTAGTTAGTTACGATTCATTGTATTAGTTAGTTACTTTGTGATGAGCTAACTCCAAGTAAATCGTATCCTAAATCATGACACTCACTCAACCACTGATTTAATAATTACTTCGAGCTTAAAACCCTCCTTAATTACTTGTTTTATGAACCATATTATTATTAACATTTATCCAACCCTAACCCTATTTCACTGACTATCTTCCTCTTTTACTTAATACATTATGAAAACTCTTCATTTCTGACACTCTTGTTTCTACCTACTAACTAAAGCATCAAGATCATTAAACAACTTTTCCATTATCGTCACTATTATCAAACACACCATTTTTTTAAGGTTATTTTATTTATATATATTATGCATCCGTACAAGATCGGTGGCCTGAAGCATTACATTCAAAAGGAGTACTTGCTAAGTTACAAACATAATTCATACTATCCGATAATAAGAGTGGCATATCCTGCCTATTCAAAATTGCTCCCTCCTTGTCTTCATTGACGATCTTCAAAATGAATTGGGGATTCTTTGTCCATTCCACAAAATCTAATTCTTCCGTTAATCCTACTGCTTATTTAGCTAACCTACCGGCCACCTGGTTCTGCTCCCTGTAGCTATGGCTGATCGTTGGGTTCCCCATCCTCTGCATTAGCTCCCTGCATTCGAGGATTGTGTTAGTGAAAGAGTCATGACCATTACATATAGCGTTTAAGGTGTCTGAAAAGTCTGTCTCTATTTGGATAGTCGAGATCCGCATCCTATCGGCCATTTTAAGTCCTGTTAGTACCGCTAAAAGTTCAGAGTGTAAGGCGTTAATCACATTAACTTTCTTTGAAAAACCTGCTATCCGGGAGCCCTTGTTATCCCTAATTACTCCTCCTCCACCCCCATTTTTAAATTATGATTGTATGAGCCATCCGTGTTTAATTTGTAGCCAACATCTGGTGGTTGCCATTTTAGTTTGTGCTTACCATTGGTTTTAGCTTTTTCCTTTAGGCCTAGGTAATAGAACTCTACAGATTTATTCAATGGTGTAGATATGTAGTCCTTTTTCCCATTGTATAGATTATGGTTTCGGTTTAGCCATATGCTCCAAATATAGAACGGAAAGGCATATTTTCATTCAATGTTGTTATGTATTTAAAAGTTCTTAGAATTTCTAATGATGGTAAGCCAGTCAACTTCTCTACCATCTAAAATTGGTTGCATATCTTCCAGAAGACCCAATTCACCCCAAAACTGGATAGCTTTGGTACATTTGGCAAAAATGTGTGTGTCAGTTTCTATCTCCCCACATATTATACATGTGGGGATGATGTCGATCCCAAGTGAATTAAGGTATTGGCATGTCGGCAGTCATCCGTGGTTACATGTCCAAAGGAAGAATTTACTTTTGTTTGGGCACTGAAGCTTCCAAATCCAATTAAACTCCTTAGTTAAAGGAAATATATGCTTATTTTTATTCTTGATGTTGTGGTATAGTGATGAGGTACTGAAGACCCCGTTTGCATTTACAGCCTAAGTAGGTTTGTCTACTGGATTTGAGATGTTGGGAATATTAATTTGCTTAATTCTTTGTTGCACGCTTTTAGGAAGGGAGTAAGGTAAATTATCCAAGTTCCACAACCCTTCTACTATGATGCTGCTGACTAATCTATCCGATTCATTGCGTGGGAGTGGGCCACTGAGAAGATTCCTTAGGGACGAAGAGTCTGGGATCCATGGATCAGACCGTAACTTAATTTGGTCACAGTTTCCCACTATCCAATGTAGACATTCCTTGCATTCCTCCCAACCATTCTTTATGTTTTTTCAAACTAGACTAATTTTCTTCCTATGGTTAGAGTTATCCCCTAGGCCCTTAGACTTGGTGTATAAGTCAAGGATAATATTTGCCCATAAAGCCCTAAGGTTTTTAAATACTCTCCATGCAAGGCGAGCTAGCATGGCCTTATTCTTGATACTACACATTTGCACCCCTAGGCCCCCTTCTTGTTTACTCCTAGTGATTACATCCCAGCTAATAAGGTGCAATTTCCTTTTAACATCCGAATCTCCCTAAATAAAATTTCGTTGTATTTGGTCGATCCTTTTGGTTATGTTTGCAGGTAGCTTTGCTAGTTGCATTATGTATGTTGGGATATTATCAGGGGATGACTTAGCTAAGGCGGTTCTTCCCGTTGAGGAACTTGGTTTTCCAGGTAGCGAGCTTGGATTGGAGGTTATCTAATAGAAATTGGTAGTCACAAGTAGTAGGTTTGTTATGAAAGATTGGAAACCTTAGGTACTTCCCGAAACTCTTGCTTTTTTGGATTCCCATAGTATTCGTTAGTAGGCGTACTAGCTGGTCATTGCAATTTTTAGAGAAAAGAATTTTGGATATAGAGTGATTAATAATTTGGCCACTCATCTTGCAAAAATCTAGCATTGTATTTTTTTATAGCCAAGCACGCGTCGAGGTTAGCTTTCCCAATGAGAACTAGGTCGTCCACAAAAAAATAGGTGTGATAACTCTGGTCCTTTTCCTGTGATCCGTACTGGTTTCCATACTTTTTGCAGGATCTCATTATTGATATACCTCGATAGTACTTCCATACATAGTATGAAGATATAGGGCGACATAGGGCCGCCCTATCTAATTCCTCTTTTTGGTTCAAAGTATTTAGTTTTAGTACCGTTTATCAATATAGCAATCCTACTAGATGAAATACAAGACATTATGAGATTGATTATATTAGAAGGGAGATTAAAGTAATG